TTCTATTTTATCTGATATTAATATATTTATTCCAATCAGGTTATCAATATTTTGCATTCCAGTCTTCTTCCCCAGTCTGGCTGCTTCTACTTACTTTTCACAGTATTCAAATAGCTGCTCCATACACAAAGTATGCTTACTCGATATTATCTAGATTTTAAACCTCCAGGTTATTTTTAAAGTGGTAATACTGGGTTTGTGAATTTTAGTTTTAATCAAATATACAAGCATAGTTTAAAAGTCAAATAGTATTATAACAGTTACAATAAAAAACAGAACTCATCTTTTACCTACCACACCACACCCATCTAGTTACCAATCCTCAATTATTTTTAAATCTTAGTCCATTTAGTCACTTACCTCCATATTTCTAAATAACGTTTATACTACTACATCTTCTTAGTTTTTGAACTTTAAAATTATATATTGACTCTTCCAATAAAAGATACTGTTTATCTATATTACTGATGCTTTACCACCTCTCCATTCTCCTGGTAGAGTTATCATAATTTTTATGTAAATCAATATTTAGTGGATTATTATTTGCAGATGAGTTCCACGGTGTACTATGATTACTTGTACAAGATCTTTTGCCTTCTCTGGAGTTAATAACTGTTTCTCTCCTTTTTTGCTTAACTTTATGTTTCCTATCATTTATTAATTCCCAACATTTGCCACAGCTATAAAAATTCATCTCAATATGGTCAAAGTCTCCATCCTTGGAAACCAATTAAGTGACTACTGTGGGCTTAATGTACAGCTGTCATCTCAGAGATTCTCCTCCTGATTTTTTGGGAATTCTCTTTTTCTCTCTTCTGGGTTGGAATTCTAAGCTTCCTGCAACCTTGATTTTTATCCTTCTGAATTTTCTCTTACTTCACAGAACATATCTTCTAGTAGCATCCTAAGAAAGTACATATTTGAAGCATATGTTTTAGATCCTTGCAAATTGAAAGGCTTATTCCATCTTACAGTTTATTGATCATTAGGGCTTTAGATTTCAATTTTATCTTCGAAGATTGATTCTGCCTCTAAAATTTGTTATCATGTTCAAGTCTAGGAAATTTTTCTTCTTTTCTGTTCTTGTTTCATGAAGACAATACCTTTACCTCTTTGTAGTTAGTACTGATATATATATTTAGCTCCTGTTTTCTTAAATATATATATATATATATATATATATCAGTATATATATTTAAGTTTTCTTCTATCCATGTGTTGGCAAACTTAGCCTACAGGGAAAATTTGGCCCATATCTTATTTTTGTACAGCCTGCAGCATAGGAATGATATTCACATATTCAAAGGGTTAAAGTAAAAACAAAGAAGAGTATAGATAGAGACTCTATGTATCCCAAAAAGCCTAAAATATATATTGTCTGGCTCTTCACAGAAAAGGCTTACCCACCCCTGTCCTATAGCACTCCTTCTGTTTTCTACACATTGTCCCACTCTGTTTTTGTTTTGTTGGTAATGTTTTACTATTGTTTTGGTCTCTGTTTTACTTTACACATTACAGACTTTGAATATCCACTGAAGACTGCATTTATTTAAGAGTAAGGCACTAAAACACTGATTGGCAGCTCTGCATACATAGGTAGAGCCTACAGACTGGGAGGCTTTGCAGTAAGGTCATCAGTTAGGAACAGGGCCATTTTGTTACTATATGTGAGTCTTTACTCATGGAGTAGTCAATTTCCCTAGAGAAGAATACTGTACTTTCCTGCTTTGGAGTATAGTATAAGACTGTCAGCCTATTCAGAGCTGAGAAGAAAAAGGGGATGGAGTTCTCACATTCAGTAGGTAAACTTTTCTTAACCTCTCTTTAATAAGTCCTTAGTTGTACCTGGAGTTGAAGAACATACAGACTTTAGTTCAATCTCTCTAGAGAGTAAACATGGGTAGGGAGGAGGACTGTCTAACTACCACTTCTTATACTAACTTACAACCAATCCTCTTGAATTTGACCATACTTAAACTAATACTTTAGAGTGCTGCCATGTCCTAAGCTTTCCCATGCCTGAATCTTGAGCATATTATCTTTCACAACTGTGTAAATTTTAACTTTTTCTTGCCTGCTAAGCCAATCATTCATCTGTTTTCCAGTGTTCAAAATTTGTTGACATCTCACCTGTCATTGTCTCCTCTCCCACTCTTTAACTCTGTAACTTTGACATTTTTATTCCTTTACTGTCATGGTATTTTCATCAGGGGTGAAGATTAACATAAATGTTTAATTTTCCCAATATACTAAAACATCTAAATTTTGTATGATTTTTGGTATTATTTTAGAGTAATCATAGATTCTGAGGAATCACACCACAATATTAGTCAGGATAGGAAAATATTACCATATTATAGAACAGCATTGAAAATCAATGGAAAGTCAGGATGCCACTCTATTTGGTTCCACTTTGGTTTATGTTTAAAGTGTCTTATGGCAGAAAAGCATTTAAGGTAACAAAACAGTTCAGAGAAAAAGGTTTCCTTTTTCCTTTTTCCATTGTTTTCATACTGCCTTGCTCAAATGAATTATGCCTACTTGAGACAAAGATTATACTTTTAGTAAAGCAGACCTGCAAGGAAACTCAGTGCAGTTGTAACAAAACCATCTGGTACATTCCCAAAGGCTGTAATTACATTTCATAGACTTGCACTACTTCAAATACCCTAACAGTCCCATGTGGGCTTAAAAAAAAGATTTTTTAGACTCAATTTATTTCTGCTTAACTTTAGACCTTCTAGGCTTATTCCTTATAAGAAGAGGGTCTGAGTATAAACACCTTTTATGTCAATCATACACTTTGTGTTTTATCAAGCGATGTAAAACATTCACTTGATTATTAAGTGAATATGTTTCTTTGCAATAAGTTGCTACTTATTGAAATTGTTTCCCTGAACACCAATATAATGACAGTTGTGCTATCCATTTTTAATTAATAAAATACTAAAACTACAGTATTATATCAATATTACAAACACATGCTTTTTATGAAATTCAACAGTATGCTTTGAAGCTCTAGAAGCTTTCTGAGCTATACAGTACAGTGGGAAAAGCATTGAACCTAGCACTTTCCACTAATTCAACAAGAATTTATTGAGCAATCTATGCCCCAAGCTGAGACATTGTTGGTTCCTAAGAATGTAAAACTGTATAATACATGTTCAGGGAAGGAGATAAATATATATATATATGTGTGTGTATATATGTATACATATACATATATACACACACATATATATAAACAGGCTACGTGTATATATATATATAAACAGGCTATTATAAAACAGTGAGATATATGCTATGATAAAGATAATATGTAAAATGTTATGGGTTTCCTAAGGAGTAAATAACTCTACTTGGAGAAGTAAAAAACAGTTTTTATAGAGGACATGACTGTCAACTAGGTTTTGATTGGTAAACTTGCCAGATGAATTGTATGGAAGCTTGTATGCCAAGGCAGAAACTAATAAAAGAATATGATATCTTTAATAATGTAATAGAGAGATGTTTAAGTTTAATAGTGAGAACTTTAGTGGATAGAGGTAGGGTATAAGGATGAAGATGAAAAAGCAGTCCTAAGCTTTTTAAAAGTACATAGGGCCAAGATGTGAAGATCCATTTAGTAGCTATGTGACTATAGATAAGTAATTTCATCTCTCACTATGTTTAATATATGAAGAAAAAGTTATAAATGACTTAGTAGGATACATATGTACTTTTGCTTCAAATTTTTTCTTGAAATTCAAGGCATTGCTTCTATTAAAAGGAAAAAATAACCAACTAAGGTAAGAATATTACTTTTGTGAACTGAAGCATAACTAAAAGTCAAGAATTAAAACATATATTCAGGCTCTCCTAGAAGCCATTTGCTGAATATTAAAATTCAAATAAAACAAAACAAAACAAGTCATTTAACAGGGATACACAGATTAAGAAAATGAAATGCTTCAAGAACAATATGCAGTGCAACCTGATGACAAGTACCAATGGGATTTCTAAAGACAGGGGCAGCAGCTTAACCAAGTCAACAGAACCACAGAACTGAATCATTCTGTTTGAAGAGAGGCACCTGTAGAATATCATTCTGGAAAGATAGGGAATGGCATGGGTGATGGGTTCTGGGAGTTAAATCGAGCTTTGCATTCCTATGTCATCAGCTATATGTAAATGGGCTAATGTGAGTGAAAACACTTGAGAAAAATCTAAGTTCTCTAATTGGTTAGGTCAGATAGTGGTAACTGTGGGTCTTTTGGCTGAATTGAAAATACATCAAATGGTCAATTTTCATGATTTGATTCTTAACTGGTGTTCTTTTATTTGTATTATCTGAAAGCCTTACAGCCTCACAAGGAAAAAATCATTACATGGTTAAACTAATTACAATTTCAGAGTATATAAAATATTATAGAAAATCTAATAATTATACTGCTTATAAATTAAGAACTGATGTCCTACAACATGAAATCGTTATGGTGATTTAATAACTAGTTCCACAAAGCACAAATATTAAAGGACCAGAAATCCTTAGAAAAAGGAGTATTTTAATTAAATTTTCTTGTTACTATAAATTCTTTAGTACGTACGTGTGTGATTTTTTTTAGCCCTTCTTTAATTGCTTGCTTTTTACCCATAAAATCATGATGTGGGTTCTGAGGCTCACAAGATAAAACTTTTATTGTTTGGTAGTGAGATTCTACAGATATTTACTCAGCACCTTTCTGTGACATTCATTGTTTGACCAGTAATCACAAATCTTTAAACTTCAGCAAATGTTGAACTCTGTTTTGAGTTTCATTTATTTCATTGACTCTTCAACTTTCACTTGTAACATCTATCTATTCACATAGGTATATGAAAATATACCTATTCCTAGGGTTCTAGTGAAATAAAATTCTATCATATTTATTATAAGGAATAAGTAGCAAAACTAGCTCTACATATAGTCCTGGTCACAGATAATACTGCAGATACATTATATTACATTTCACTCCACTTACCTACCTAGGGCCTGGTTTAAGGCCCTGTATGCTTGAATTTCATACCATTGACGACCAGGTAAAAGACCTCTCGATTTTGAATGCTGGTCATTATATTGTTGCTTTAGTTCAACCTAATAATTTAAAAATACATTAAAAATAGAGTGGATAATTATTCATTTAAAAAATCATATTAACTTGTAACATTTTGAACTTCCATCATTTTATTATAATAGAGAGGTTTGGTTTTTCAGTACTTTTCAGTTCATTTAAAACATTTCTATTCATCTTTACCTTCCCATACATTATTAATTAGCTGTATTTAGAAATAATTTACATACTATCAAGTTCAAAAACTTCCAATATACATGTAGAGAAATTCTGACAAATGTATAGCCATGTAACCACCACCACAATCATAATATAGAATATTTCCAGTATCCCCCAAAATTTCCCTCCTATCCCTTTTCAGTCAATCTCTTTTACTGCTGACCAGTTAACCAGTGGTCTGCTTTCTGTTTACCTTTCCTAGAATCCATGTAAATGTTATTGTACAGTAGGTAATCATTTGTATCTGTCTTTTCCATTTAGCAGAGTGATTCTGGAATTCATTCATGCTGAAACATGTATCAGTAGTTCATTGTTTTATGGTTATCCAATCTGATAATCTCTGCTTTTTGAGATGTTTAGACCACTCATATTTAGTGTACTTACAGCTATGATTTGGCTCAAAACTACAGCAACAAAATACACATTCTTCTCAAGTACACATGGAATATCTTCCAGGATAGATTATACATTGGGCCCAAAATAAATCTTAAGAAATTTAGGAAGATTGAAATAACATCAATCCTTTCCAACCACAACAGCATGAAATTAGAAATCAATTAACATGAAGAAAATTGGGATATTCACAAATATATGGAAATTAAACAATACATATGTGAACCACCAATGGGTTAAAGAAGAAACCAAAAGAGAACTCAAAAGAACTCAAAATCTAAGTACAAAAGAAAACGGAAATAAAACAAACCAAAACTATGGGATGCAGGAAAAGCAGTTCCAAGAGAGATGTTTATAGGAATAAACACCTCTGTCAAGAAAAAGAATCTCAAATGAACAACCTAACTTTATACCTGAAGAAATGAGAAAAAGAATAAACTAATTTCAAAGCTAACAGAAGGAAAGAACCAACAAAATGAGAGCAGAAATAAATGAAATAGAGACCAAAAAACAATAGAAAAGATCAATGAAACTAAGAATTGGTTTTTTAAAAAGATAAACAAATCTGATAAACTTTTTGCTAACTAAGCAAAAAAGGACTCAAAATTATAAGAGTAGATTATAATTGATACTACAGAAATACAAAGGGTCATATGAGATTACAATGTACAATTAGACACAAACTGGATAACTCAAAACAAATGTATAAGTTCCTCGAAACATACAACTTACCAAGACTGATTCATGAAGAAATAGAAAATGTGAATATCTTGTAACAAGTAAGGAGACTGAGTCAGTAACCAAAACTTCTGAAAAAGAAAATTCCAAGACCAGATGGCTTTGTTGGTGAATTCTACCATTTAAGGAAGAAGTAACACTAATCCTTCTAAAATGCTTCCAAAATATTGAAGAGGAAGGAAAACTTCCAAACTCATTTTAAAAGGCCAGCACTACTCTTGTACCAAAGGCAGATAATGACACTAAGAAAAGAGACAGTTATAGGCCAATATCTGTAATACAGTTGTAAAAATGCTCAACAAAATACCAGCAAACTGAGTTCCATAGCATATTGAAAAGATCATATACAATGATCAAATGGAATTTAACCCTGGAATAAAGGGTTAGTTCAACATATACAAATCAATAAATGTGATATACCATATTAACAGAATGAAGGATAAAAAATCATATGATCATCTCAATAGAGGCAGAAAAAGCATTTGACAAAATTCAACATCTTTTATGATACAAACTCTCAACAAATTAGGTATGGAAGGAATTTATCTCAATGTAATAAAAGCCATATAGACAAATCCACAGATAACATCATACTCAATGGTCAAAAGCTGAAAGCTTTTCCTCTAAAATCAGGAATAAAATAAAGTGCCCATAATCCCACCACTTCTATTCAACAAAGTACTGAGAGTCCTAGGCAGAGCAACTAACTAGGCAAATAAAGAAAGAGAGATAAAAGGCATCCAAATCAGAAAAGTACAAGTTAAACATTATTTATAGATGATGTGATTTTATATGCAAAAAACCCTAAACACTCTGCCAAAAAACTGTTAGGATTAATAAATGAATTTAGTTAACTTGTAGGATACAAAATCAACATAGAAAAATCAGTCGTGTTTCCATACATTAACAATAAACTATCAAAAAAAGAAAAAAGAAATCAGGAAAATAGTCCCATTTATAATAGTATCAGAAAGCATAACATACTTTGGAATCAATTTAATTAAGGAGGTGAAAGATCTTTACACTGAAAACTGGAAAACATTGATGAAAGAAATTGAAAAAAACACAAATAAATGGAAATATCCTGTGTTTATGGATTAGAATTAGTATTGTTAAAATGTTCTTACTATCCAAAGTGACCTACAGATTCATTCAATCCCTGTCAAAATCCAAATGGCATTTTTTAAAACCAAAATAGAAAAAAAATCCTAAAACTTATATGGAGCCACAGAAGACCCCGAATAACAAAGCAATACTGAGAAAGAACAAAGCTAGAGGCAACACACTTCCTGATTTCAAACTATATTATAAAACTTTAGTAATCAAACAGTATGGTACTGGTATAAAATAAGACACACAGGCCAATGGAATAGAATGGAGTCCAGAAATGAACACATGCATATATGGTTAACTAATCCTCAACAAGGGCATAAAGAATACACAATGGGAAAAGGATAGTGTCTTTAAGAAATAGTGGTAGGAAAACTGGATATCCATGAGCAACAAAATGAAACTGGATCCTTATCTAACACATAAAAATCAACTCAAAATGGAGTAGAGATTTAAATGTATCACCTGATACTATAAGACAAGTGTAAGAAAACAGGAAAGCTCTTTGGCTTCAGTTTTGGTAATGATTTTTTTTTGGACCTGTCACCAAAGCAAAATTAAGTTGGATTACATCAAACTAAAAAGCTTCTGCACAGCAAAAGAAATAATCGACAAAATGAAAAAAAAAACCTATATAACAGGAGAAAATATTAGCAAGCCTTTTATCTGAAAAGAGGTTTATATCCAAAATATATGACGAGTTCATACAATTAATAATGAAAAAGTCCTTAATAACCTGATTAAAAATGAGCAGAAAACTTGAGTTTTTCAAAAGAAGGCATACAAATGGCCAATGGGTATATGAAAAGGTGTTCAACATCACTAATCATTAGGGAAATGCAAATTAAAACCACAATGAGATACCACTTCACACCTATCAGGATGGCTACTATTAAAAAGATAAGAGATAACAAATATTGGCAAGGGTGTAAAGATAACGCTTGTACACTGTCGGTGGGAATGTAAGTTGGCAAAGCCATTATAGAGAACAATACAGAGGTTCCTCAAAGAAGTAAAAATAGAGCTACCACATAATCCAGCAATCCTACTTTTGGGTATATATCCAAAAGCAATGAAATAATTATCTAGAAGAGGTATGTGAACCTCCATGTTCACGGCAGCATTGTTCATTCACATAGCTAATATATGCTAACAATCTAAGTGTTCATTGACAAATGAATAAAGAAAATTTAATGTTCTCACAAAATGGAATATTATTCAGCCACAAAAGGCAGGAGATCCTGCAACAACATGGATGAAGCTGGAAGACATGCGGAGTGAAATAAGCCAGGCATAGAGAGAAATACAGCCATACTCTCACTTAGATGTGGAATCTAAAAAAAGTCAAACTCAATGAACCTGAGAGTAAGCAGTTGTGGGTTAGAGAAAATGGGAAAATGTGAATTGGGAGTAAAACTTTTCAGTTATAAGTTAAATAAATTCTGGGAATCAAATGTACAGCATGGTAACTATACTCAGTAACAGTATATTATATACTTGAAATTTGCTAAGACTGTAGACCTTAAGTGTTCTCACTCAAAAGTGAGATGGTAGCACTCAAAAAATGGTAAGTACATGAGGTGACAGATGTGTAAATTAATCTTATTGTAATTTTACAATTTAAATGCACACTAAGTCATCACATTTCATACCTTAAATATATACAAGTTTTATTTGTCAATTATACCTAAAAAGAACTGGAGGAAAAAAAAGAGGTCCATACCGTAGTAAACTTTCTACTGGCCTTGATCTGATCTTGAAAAACTGGACCTCTCACCTCCTAATTAAAAATCTTTCCTGTCTCCTAAGTACCACAAATAGCATTGAGAGACAAATGAAAAACTGGAGAAAAAGTTCTGTCATTTAATATACAATGAGCTCATACACAATCAATAACAAAATATAAACTGCCGAAGAGGAAAGTCAGTAATGTCTATGTGAAAATAAGTCATCAAAGATGAATGATAAGTGGCTGGTAACCCATACAAAAAGATTCATTTTACCAGTGAATCAAGAAATGCAAATTAACAACCCCATTGTTTTTATTTGTAGAATATTGCTAAATATTTACCAAATGTGTTTCTATATTCCCACAGGTAGAGATACATAATATGTATAAAGATATTCATTGCATTTTTGTTTTTATTGAAGAAAAATAAGAAACAACCTAAATGTCCATCAAGTGGGTCAATTAAATATATTATAATTATTCTGAACTAAATATTGGATTATTAAGTGAAAATAAATATATTTTTATGTTTTATCAGGGAACTAGCCAAGATACATATTTTTAAATAAAAATCAAGTAAAACACACACATGGCGTGGTGTCATGTTAGGAATAAGGACCACAATTTAGAGCAATGCCAATTTTAAACCAGCCCCCCAAAAGACTTCAAACAGACCTGATGAGAACCAGAGGAGAAACAGTTTAAAGATTGTATACTTTGAGCTTTTCTCAAAACTTTCCTAAAAAATTTTCAAATCATGCCTATACAAAGTCAAGATGATCAGTTATGAACTGAACTGCCTACAAAAAAACAAGTCAATATTCTTCAGAGAAT